AAATGTCTTCAGAGATGCTTGCGATTAGGGAAGCAAAGGGAAAAATGAGGAGAGAAGAAGTGTCTCATCAGCCAAGAGAAAGCACTGAGCTGGCTGTGCTGGAGGCAGGGAGGAGGGGTGGGAAAAGCTGCCTGCGCTGCGGCTGGAAAACGCTGTTAGGGTCTTGGCAGAAGCTGTTTCGATGGCGAGTGTGGGGCAGAGGCTGCGCTGGAGGAGACGTAGTGTGGAGCTGGAGGGAAGGAAAACTTCTGAGTTTTTAAAAAATGTTATCATGGAACCAGTAGAGTAGGAAGACGGGTCAGTGGGAGGCAGCACCCGAGCAGCCTCGGCGCGTGTTGTGCAAATGGGGAAGCGGTGGTTAAAACGTAGGAGGGGGAAAGTCTCATTTCTCAGTTGTGTCTGCGAAAGAGTCTGTGCGGAGAGCTGCGGAAAAGGTGGGGGAGGACTGGAAAAAGCAGTGAGAAGGCACGTGTGGGAAGGGCGGCTGCGCGGGGGGAACAGCCTCGGCGGGGACTTTGGCCATTTAAAAGCCTGAGATAAGGGCAGGGCGGAGGTGTGATTTCTCGTGGAGGGACTGGCTAAAGTGCAGCGTCGAAGAGAGCACTGAGGGGGAAGAGGAGGGGAAGAGGTTACTCGTGCCGATGGCCTGAAACCTGTGGGGCATGAGAGACTTGCAAAACAGAAGGAAAACTCGGCAAAGAGGGAGAGAAGAGGGGCTGTGGTGAGCGCCTGGCGAGATGAACAGCGCTGTTGCTAACAGAGTGGGGTGAAACGAGGTCTCGGGGGGAATTTTAGCCAGCTTGGGCCGCCCGGAGCCCAGAGCTCTGCTGCTCATCCCCAGCTGCCCCGCGTTTGCAGCCAGGCGTCCGCAGGATTTTTCGACGCCGCAGGTGAAGCACGAGATCTCCAGGGGCTGCGGGGTGACCTGGATCGTGCCTGGGCTCTCAAAAGCCTTTCAATGTGTTCATCAGGTCTTGTGCACGCTGGCGGCTTCTCTTCCTTTCGATAAAGCGCTTATCTAAAAACCAGCAGAGCCGGAGCAGCCTTGACTTCTACGAGGTGCCTTGTCTGATACTAAAATACAACACCAATAATCTTGCCTGACTGGAAAAAAAAAAGGCAAACAAAAAAAAATCCCTATCTCTGCAGCCAGTATAGTACAGGTTTTAAATTTTCTGGTGATTTTCTTTGTAAACTGCTCAGCAGGGTATTATTCAGGCAGCTGCATCGAGGGACTAATATAACATGTGTTCTCAATTTTGGACCCTTTATGTTGGGAATTTTCCATTGTGCAATTGCATTAAATCTGAGGCGGCTGACAAGAGCACGATGTTTTCTAACTCTCCACAAGGTTAAATGACTGAAATAAAAATAGATGGAAAAGAAAACAAAGTAAAATAAGTTTGCTTTCTCCCGTAATGGCAGGCAGTAGCGTGGGGTCAGGGACCTGCCGATAGCCCAGCCCTCAGTCAGGGACCGTGAAACAACTGATCCTTCCTGAAGCGCTTTGGAAATTATCTCCTGCTTCAGACGCTCGTTCTCGTTCATTCACACAGATCATACGGCCAAGAAGACTGTGTTCAAAGTTGTCATTTTTATATAAATTGTGGTAATAATGACTATATTTGTGAAGCATTTTACTTTCTAAACGCCAGGGCTGGAAGATGTTATTTGCAGTGTCTTCCTTACTAGGAAATGTGTGATTTCTACCACTGCCTGTAGGAAAAACACCGGCCTGCGGTGGGGCAGGGAAGGCAGTCTGCGGAGCAGGAGGGTGCTCTGGCGCACGCGAGGTGGCTGAATTCACAGATGCCAGCGTCAGGCTGGGCGGGCGGCTGGAGGTAAAGCCACGGCGCGGACGCTGGGCAGCCGCATCCGCGGGCGGTGGAGCACGGAGCCCCGCAGCCTCGCCTGCGTATTCCCGTCCAACAGGGGTTTCGTTTCTGCCCGTGTTTTACATCTCACAGGTTTCGTTTTCAGCCCAAACTGCAAAGGCAGCTGTTCCTTTTCTCTCTGGAATTTAGACAAAATGCCAGGCCAGCTTCAGCAGGCACCAGCCCTCTAGTCTCGCGCAGATGATCAGCACAGTGCTGCTCGAACGCTTGCCGAGGACCGTTTCATAAATCAAATCAAGGAAGAGCGCCGTTTATTGCTATAATTTTCTCACGGAAGCAGAGCTCTGTGCATTTGCAGAGTTCCCAGCTTTTGTTCAGGTGGAGAATGAGGTGACCTCAAACGTGAAATCCCAGTTTATTCCGCTTACACCACCAGCTGCACCCCACGACAGCAGCTCACACCCTCGTTGTTATTTTGTTGTCTTTGTGTTTTGGATCCTGGTGTTTTCATCAGCACGGCCTCTGGCGTTAGAGCGGGGCCGTTCACCGGGCTGCTGCGGCCGGACGCCGGCACCTGAACAGGGCGCCCAGCCGTCGAGTGCCGCTCTCCGCACCGCCTGCTCCGCGCCCGGCGGTGCATCTCTCCTCCTCTGCAGAGGAGCTGTTTCCTGAGCAGGCAGCTCGTTTCGCTGGGGAGCCGGTGGACGGGCTCCTCCGCATGTCCTGGTGTTAGCTGAGCCGTGAAGCTGTGCAGTTGGCGGGGGGTTAGCAACAAGTGGGAAACCAGATCCATTTAGGTCTGCAATGTGTCCATCAACTGCAAAAAATAATATATAGATATATATTTATTTGCCTGCCTTGTGAAAAAATAGCTCTAGTTTAGAGCTGTGCAAGACAGACCATTCAGTTAAAAATAAATCTTCAGAGCACAGTGCATCTAAGCACAAATTGTTTGTTACTGGCTATTTTATTTATACCAGTCATGGGATATTCAACTGCTGGTATGGGAACAGCAAAATAGTTTTTAATCCTGGGTTTGGACAGCGACTCCACAAGCAGCAGCTACGAGAATTTAGCTTTAAGACCCCAGAGCACAGACTTAAACCCAAAGGCAGCTCCCCGGGAGCAGACCTGGGAGCAGGGCTGGCACCGGTGGTGGGCAGCGCTGGAATGCCCCGGTGCCAGGCACGTTCCCTTTTAACGCTTGTTAGCGTGTGCCTAAAACCATGCTTGCCATCTTTCTGTTCTAAAATGTGAATGAAACGGTGACATCTGGTCCGAAGCCCGTGCGAGGAATATTTGTAATAGCTGGAGTTTTTATGGATACAGCTCGCACTAGCTAGAAGGGGAAGATACAGAGCAGGCATGGTCTGAACGGGCTCTGCTTTGCTCAGCATCCTTTCTACTTAAAGGGGGGAAATAAAAACTGTAGTGTTCTCACTTGAGAAACAGCCAATTTGTCCAATATTTTCCTGCCACTTTAGCCAACAAGTACTATGCCTGTTGGATATGGTGATCAATGACTAATTACATTTTCTGTGTATTTAAAGGTTAGAGTAATTTAAAACACCAAATTTTTTCCTCGCCAGTAAAAAAATTTTAAAAACTGACCTCAGTTCTTGAGGGATGAGGGGCAAGAGCTCTGCTTTGCCCATGCACGGGCCAGCGCAGTAGTTTCAGTTCACGGAAGCTGCGAGTGGGCTCTGGGGTTAATTTATACTTTCCTCTTATTACTTTCCTCGGCCATTAGGAAAAGCCGGCTCTCATATGGAGACTGGAATACCCTGCTCCCACTTCAGCCCCTCTCTGCCTCTATTAATAGGAAGAACATTTTCCTGCTAATCGCTTTTTATATATATATGTATACACACACACACACACACATATATTTGTTTTGCTTCCCATTCCCTTCTGTTTTTCCCAGGTACGACTTGTTTGATCGCACTGTTGTCAGATAAGGAACTCACAGTGGCCAACGTCGGGGATTCGCGAGGAGTCTTGTGTGACAAGGATGGGAATGCCATCCCCCTGTCACATGATCACAAGCCCTACCAGCTGAAAGAGAGGAAGAGGATTAAAAGAGCTGGTGAGTTGTAACGTTTTTGCTTTAGATTGAAGGTTCATCTTTTTTCTTCTCTACTCTGTCAATAATATAGACTTTCCCCCCCGAGAGAGACTGAGAAGTACTAGACTGAGGCACCAACAGATAAAATCTTCCATTGCTAATACAGCACCTTCCAGCAGGACGTCGTGGTGCAGACAGAGAAAGGGAAGCAGACTGACCGAGCCCTTAACGGGCCAGTGTCGGGGTAAGAGGAGCAGCCTTCCTCTTCACCAGCCAGCTGACCGTCCCGGCCAGTTCCCTCATCATCTCTGCAGGGAGCAAATTAATCAACAGGAGCAGCAGCATTACAGGCTGCTTCACACCAAACCCCATCAGCAGCCTTCAGGTGAGGGGCTGCGTCTGAAGCTGAGTGAGCGTTAGCTCCTAAACTAAGCGGAGCGTGAATCTAATTCATCAAAGCTATTTTTCGTTCCCGTATAGTGACTGCTAATGATCACAAACACGTAAATTGGAGCAGGAGTCTAGGGAAGGAATACAAGAAAGAGAAACCTTTCTGCAGTAAATCTTTCCAGCTTTCATCACTTGTCAGTTTAGCGACCTCCTGGGCTAGAAGTTACATTTGGATCCCCAAGTTCAGTAGCCCATTTGCCATGCGTTTGTCAAAGTCTCTTTTGAGCCCATTTCTGGTTTGGCTCCCACAGCAGCCTGCAGCAGCAAATTATTGGATGAAGAGAAAAAAAGGTTCCTTTTGTTTGCGTTAAACCTACCGATGAGCGTTGCCTCCAGAGGTGCATTGCCTCTCTGCCTCCATGTCCTCGTCTGCAAAGTGGAAATAACACATTTTTCCCTGACTATAAAACATTTTTAAAACCTGCAGGTTATCAACACGCTCTCACCAGTGTAAATGCCCGTCCGTGCGCACCGTGCGCTTTCCCCTCCGTTTGCTTTTATCACTGACGAGGTGCGAGAGCGGTGGGGATCCTTCCTGCTGCTACAGAGCCGAGGTCACGTGGGTTCCCCAAGGGGCAAGAAAAAGAACGCGGATCCTAAGAAGAAGGAAGAGGAAAATCTTGGTCTCACTTTGCTTCAACTCTGTACTTGGGGGATGTATCAATAAAATCTGGAGATTCCTCTGTAAAACGGTTTCCCTCTTAGCCAAGTCCAGGGCCTCTATGCAATTGTTCACTTAGAGAAGGCCTTCACTTAGGAGAAAAGGGTATTTGGGTAATTCTTTTCTGTAGATGTGAGGCTTTATAACACAGCAACACAGCAGCGTGAAAAATGAACCTGGATTTTTCCAGGAATTTCCAACTTTGGAGGAAATTAATAGACAGGTAAATGTTAACACTGTGTGCAGCTAAACAAGAAATATTCTGTCTAGCCCAGTGACTTAATGAATTCACTTCTCGGCTACCGATTGCCCCACTGTATTACCAGGATTGATACGGCCTCACAGTGCTGTTACAAACATACAGTCCGGTTTATACTACTGCCAGATACTTTGACATGTTGCAGCAGCCCTTCGTGACATACAGCCAGCACAGAATGGAAGCCAAGTGCCCAGACTGAATTATCCAGCCTGCGCTGCCACTGTGACCGAAGTGCCTGACGTTCTTCCACCATCTAGGCACTTGCTAGTGACGCAGAACTGAAGAAGGCGACAATAACCACACCATTACGTCACGTTTCGGTTTTCCAACCTTACGTTGCGCCATCAAGCTGCACTGTCCCGTGCCCTACAGGGAGTTATAAAATGACGGCACATTTGCATTAGTAGGATTCCATTTAATTTACAAGTGAAATCCGTATGGCCATGGTTGAGAAAATACCCATCAAGCCTCAGTCCGATATAAATGAGTCTGAGGCAGCCTGAAGCAGCAGCTCGGAGCAGAGCCTGGCTTGCCCCGTGCGTTTCAGCGGGGCATTGCCACTGGGATGACGAGTCTAAACTCGTCCGTCAATTTTCGCTGCCGTGGTGGACCTTAAGGAGCTCACTGCTTGCTGCCGTCAGCAGTTGGTGGATGGGGAAGGAATTCAGTCCCTCTCTTTTCCCTGCTCCCAGCAGCTGCGTACAAAGTCTTCGGCAGCCCACAACCTGAAAAGGAATTCCCTGTTACCAGTCTGACGTGACTGGAGCAGCTCTCGTGCTGAAAGCCCAGAAGCCAACGCTCCGGTTTCTTGCGGGAGTTCCTGCGGTGCAGCGAGAGGTGACCGGTACCCAAGCCCGCAGCCAGATGCCAACAGGAAAGACAGCAGCTAAGAGAGCAGGGCAGGGCCCTCCGTTTCGAGCCGAGGTGCCGCGTCCGGTGGCACTGCCCGCTCCGTGGCGTGGCTGGGCCGTTGACAGCAGCGGTCACCGGGGTTTTGTCAAGACTGACTGTCATTTTCACGAGAGGCTGGTGTCACTTTCACCATGGCTGGTGCACGCTTGCCAGTGCTGTGGTGCCGCTCGTCTCGCAGCTGAGTGAGAGCAGGGTCCCAGGTCTGTGTCCTGTGGCACGAGGATGCTGGTTTCCCCAGAAAACACACGGCATCTCCTTCTGAGCAGGAGCTTGAGCCCTGAGTGGAGTATCAGCGTAACACAGTGGCCTTGAAACGAACGTGGGTTTGGCTTGCGAAGAAACACTCGGCTGCAGAGCCACAAGGTGACTGTCACTGATAGAAATTTCAGTCATTCACCTTGAACATAATCCTCTGAGCTCAGCTCTTGCTAACATGCAAAATGTTTGTGCAGTTGCCAAAAAGCTTCTATTTCTTTAATGCCTTTTCTTCTCCGGTGACCGCCAGCGCTGCAGAATGTTTGCTTTTCCGTGAGCATTTTTGTGTAGTCTGTATGGGAGGCTTCACACGGGACACTGTCAGAAGTGCCAACAGACACTTTAGCAAACCACAGGAATTCAGCTTGTGCCGTAGGCACTTCCAGGAGCCACGTGAGAATGGCACCCAAACCTCGCTTTGTGCGCGTAAGCACGACCTGCAGGGACTGGAGCGAGCCTGCTCGGCGAGTCCGCAGCGTCGGCTGTCTCTCTGCAGGCACAGGAGCGGCTGCAGGCACTGCCGTCCCCTGATGGCGTGGAAAATGTCTAAAAACCACCTCTTCCGAGTTGCAGTTTGCTTCGCCTGCTGTTCCCATGCGTACACAGGGTTATACTGCGGTTACTACAGCCCTGATCACTCGTGAACCCCCTGGGCCGGTGGGTGGGTGGCTGTGTGACCGTGCGCCCTCAAGGCCTACAGCAGCAGCCGGACGAGGTTCGTTTGACGGCACAGCTAACGAGGAGCTGCGGCAGGCTCCCCAGTCCTTCACTGCTTTGATTATGGAAGGAAACATCTTCGGCATGGAGACTCCATAGAAGCAGTCGTGCAAACACCCAACTAAAGAGTTTTGTTTCTGGTGTTTTTACCCAAATCGAGTTTCAAGGTTTAAACAAGAACGCATCGTTCAGTTCAATGCAGTTTCAGCTGCGAGCGGAAGGAATTCACAGATTACCTCGGCCAGCCAGGGATGGAAACACTTTCGTCAGGTGATAGGTGACTGACAAAGAACGCACGGGCTGGAGCGCAGAGCTGAAAACATTCTGATCCCTGCAAAGAACAAAGTCATTTATGAGAACACCAAAGCTGACAGCTTGCAGGTACGAAAGACAACAGCTCACCCAACTTTGCTATACATCTTAGTGTTCCACGTTTGCAAATTGTCTGTCCTCGAGTGACTTTTCATTCATGATGAGATGACAGGCATAGTGCTGTGAAACAGTGCCGACAGTGGCACGCAGAGGCACGCAGGGGAACTGAAGGTGCCTGGGTTTTACTCTTTGACCTTGACCACCGAACCGTTCCCTCCCCGGCGCAGTCAGGCTGGGTGGCAGCCAGGTGCCGGCTGGATCGGAGTCATCGATTTCAGTGCAAAACGCAGCTCTCTACAAGCAATCCCTAAATAATCTTATTTTCAGCTAGAAGTAGCCTTAATCCTGGTGATGGTAAAATCAATCAGTTGGATCCCGCTTTTCTGACCTGAAGTAAAATCTCATGATAGGTTTGTTCACAACATTTTTTTTGGTCCTTTTTGGGACAGCTCATTCAAGGCGGTTTGACAGAGGAGCCCGTAGATGCTGTTGCGCTTGCTTCCTTGCTTGATGCCTGCAAGGGAGACGCGAGTCTTGCTGCAGGGTGTTTGCAGTGCGGTTTCCTTCATAGATTTTCTGAAATGGGGAAAACTCTTAACTAGACAGAAAAAGCAGGTGTTTACTAGCACAAGAATTTGCTTTCAGCATTTTTGTCTTCACATCGCCAAAAGGCTTTCGGAAGAGGAAGCTGTGCAGTACAGAACGCCTGTGTTCAGGGAGCCGTCGCTCTCACGGGGGGAGTAGCGAGCGCGAAGCTCCTTCATTTGAAAGCAGAGCCATTCCCAACTTCTTATGCTTACAAATATCTGCAGGGTGGGTGTCAGGAGGACGGGGCCAGACTCTTTCCAGTGGTGCCCAGAGACAGGACAAGGGGCAACGGGCACAAACTGAAGCCGAGGAAGCTCCAGCTGAACACGAGGAAGAACTTCTTCCCTCTGAGGGTGACGGAGCCCTGGCCCAGGCTGCCCAGGGAGGCTGTGGAGTCTCCTTCTC